GGGGTGGAACGGAACGGGGGCGGGGGCGAGACCTTTGTGTGAGTGAGGCACGGAAAGGAAACCGGGAGAAGCCTGCGGCGCCTGACAGAACCCGCTAAGGAACCGATTCCCATTCCTAACGTGCCTCCTGCTCCCTAGGTTCTCCAGGGCAGCTCTGTGGATTGGGACCACCTCCTTCATGATCCTGGTTCTTCCTGTCGTCTTTGAAACTGAAAAACTGCAGATGGAGCAACAGCAGCAGCTGCAGCAGCGACAGGTGAGACGGGAGCACCCCAGCCCTCTGCTGGCCCTTCAGAGTCGGCTCGGGGCGCCGCACCTCCTCCCGGTTACCAGCTGGTGAAGGATCTTAGGGAACAGAAACCAAAGAGTGTGGTTTGTTATCCAGTCATCCCACTGGATGCTGTGGTTGGATGTTCCAATGGGATGATCTTGACAATTCCCAGTACCAGGCTGGTGGCATACCCCAGCAAATGCGACCTGGGCGTGTTTTGCTGGGCTGGAACACGCGGCGAGGACTGCGCACAGGCCCGGCACAGCAACGTCCAAACCTGCCCCGTTTGCCTTTGCTGGGGCCGAGTGTTAAGTTGGGTTGCTGGGGAGAAACCGGTATTGCCAATGCTGCTGGTCCCTCTGGCGTCCCCCTGAGTAACTGAGAGGGGAGGGCAGCACAAGGTGGCCGCCCCGCGTCCTCGCAGCCCCTCACCTGATGCCATTTTCCTTCCAGATCCTCCTCGGACCCAACACGGGGCTCTCGGGGGGAATGCCAGGGGCCCTGCCTCCGCTGTCTGGAAAAATCTAATGGGCAGGAGCTGCGTTGGATTTGTGTCACGTGGGAAGACTTGGGATGGTGATTTATTGAACTGTTGATTTGTTGGGTCAGGGCATTTTTTTGTTTTTATTTTTGGTTCTCCTTTGGGACATTGACCTGTTCATAACGTGGGGAGGGGGGGAAGTCCCCCCTCTGGACCTGATGACGGCTCCTGTCTGCATCCTCCCCTCTCTAGAAGTTGTGAGTCTTTCCTTTTTTCCCAATCAGTGCACCATAACCAGTTACAGAGACTTGAACTGGGGGAGTTCCTCTGCCAGACTCCTTGCCCCCCCCAGAACCACCCTGGGGCACAGGTCAGGTGTCGAAAGGCAGTAGCCAAACAAAACGACTCCTTTCCTGGCTGACTCTGAGACAGAGGACACCGGTGAGAGGAGGGGTGGCTTTCCCAGCAGGTGAAGCAAAGGAAGGAGGGGTGCAGGCAGCTGTACCCTGTGGAAAACACACCTGCAAAAATACTTCGCTGCGACTCTGTGCATGTGCAAGTAGCGAGGGAGCAGCAGGCCAGGTTCACGATGATCACATCTGCGCTGATCCTCTGCCTCATAAAGTAGAACTTCAGATATCAGCTGCATATTTTTTGTATTGAATATTAAATAAATCCAACCTGAGCAGTGTGGTTTTACTAGACATCTTTCAGGGAGGCTCAGTTCTTTCAGAGCTGGCGGTGGCTTTGTGGGTAGAGGCCATTTTGTGCACAGCCTGGCAAGGGGGGGAAGGGTTGGACAGGGTTTGTCACCTTCAGCTTTATGTGGCTTAAAGGAGTTCTCAGGGGCAATTCCACCTCGCCACCAGTGACCAACACTCAAGGTTCTTAACTCTCTGAGAGTTTGCAGTTTTATAACCAAAGAAAGAAAAAAATTTATTTTTCCTTTACAGACTTTGTTACAGAACAATTCAGCTGAACATACAGAAGTGATAGGACATTTATATGGAAATGGGTTTTTTCCATTTTTAATATTTGGTTAAACAAAATACATCTTTGTAAACAAACCCAAGACAAGGCTCTAACAAAACCAAACAAGCAAGAACTAAACGTGGGCTTCCCCACTCCCAAGCGGTGGGACTGGACCCTCTTGGGCAGCAGCCTCACCTGCCCAGGGTGTGTGATCATACACTTTCCCTTTACCTGAGCAGCTGGATCACACTGTTCTCCCCAACACGGGAAAGGTGCTGACATACAGGGAGAGGAAAGTAGCCCCAAAATATTCTGAAACATCTTTGCATATTGTGCACTGATCTGGTGGCTTGCAGTTTCCATGCAAACAGGGGTTCTCCAAAGTGCGGCTTTAATCGGCATAGAAAACGTTCTGTTGAGATTTAATTTGTTTCCCCTCTTGAAGAAATGGCTTCAGGTCGCGAGCAGAATGCCTGCAGGCTGCACATCCTGCCTGGAAAGTGTTTAAAAACGCTGCCAGCTGGTATTGGTCAGTGGAATGTGTTACGAAATAGGACTTTTTATAGAAACCTTGTGTCTTTAAAACCTAAGAGCCGTGTGCCCTTGCCCGTGGGAGGCTGTGCTCCAGAGACTGCAGTGGTGCTTGCCAGACGTCCGGGGGTCAGCGAACAGCCTTGTCACGTCATCACATGGCCTCTGTTCTCCATTAGGAGGGTGGGATTTTGGTGGTCTCTCAGCTTCAAGCACCTGCTCATGCATTTGTGGAGCTCTCAAGAGAAAAATAACTGAGAAAAGGGAGTTAGAACCGCTCCTTTTGCAAGCTCAAGATACCAGTAGTGAGACTTTCCTGCACGATGGAACGGGGTCCTTCAAACTCTGTCACATCCCAGAGATTGCTGCTTAACTGAGACATTCCATGCACAGCGGAGGGAAGCAAACAGCAGCTCGGCCAGGAAGAACTAAACACAACAAAGTCTGTTCTAAATTCAGCACTTCCTCCTGCTGTGGAAGGTATGACTGAACTGCAGCTTGCCCAGGTGACCAGAGAACAGCTGGTGGAGATTCCTCTGAGCATCTCCATGCCTAATCACCCTTCCCCACAGAAGGGAGAGGAGGAAAAAGCAATGTGTCCATTAATGGAATGGAATGTTTGTTGGCCAACACTAAAAGAGAAGTTGGTTCAACTATCAGGCCAGGGTCTAACACCCAAAGTTTCTGGTGGACCCGCTGCACCTCCAACTTTATCAGCCAGTAACTATAAAAAGGCAGAAACTGACTGTTACAAAGGCTTCCCCCTCCACCCGGTTTTTGCTTTTCAACTTTACCTCTTTCTGGGACATTGCACGTGACATTCCTGACTGTGGGCTAGACTTCTGGAAAGAGGAAAACAAAAGGGAATGAAGAATTCCTCTCAAAACTCCTTCAGTTTTATTCCTGTCTTTGAGCAGCCCCTAAACTAATGGGTGACCATGTAGAAAACCAAAATAGATTAAAAAAAACAGAACAAACCCAAAAACCGACATAGCACAAAGAAACCCGGGGAGACTATGGCCCCTCTCCAGTCCAGAAACTCAACATTCCTCAGTTAGCCTGTGCTTGTTCCCACATCACCTTAGCCAGCCACATGCTGCCGAACAACTGCTCACCAGATCCATAAATCCCTGGAGACATGCGGGAAGAAGCCTCTAGCTACCCAAAGAATTTCTTGAAAGATGACACTGGTTTTATTACTGTTTTCTCATTCCTGGCACAAACCATCCCTAAGAAGCAGAGGGTTGTGCTGAGCACCGTACCATTCCTAGTGTCTGAGTGTCCCGAGAGACCCTTTGGAATTGCAAACGTCTTCAGGACAACTTGTTTTGGAAAGAGAGACTTGTGAAGAGGCAGCAGCGTGCTCAGCCCCTGCTCCTGCCCAGCAAGCCCTGGAGGGAGCAGTGTCCCAACACACACAGCCTTGACCACATGGGGAAAGGGAGGCCAGGGGCTTCCAGACACCCTCGCCCCAAAGCCCAGTTTTAAAGAGCGCGACGCCTTCCAGCGCGCAGAAGGGCAGGCAGCTCATCCGCCTTCGCAGTTAAAGTGACTGGCTTCCAGGTTCCTCCGCTCTGCCCCCAGTCCCTCCCCACCCACCACCCCCAGTGTTCTACACCGTTGCCCTATTGCACCAAGGAAGGAAGAGAAGAGCCTAACAAAGGAAGTTCCAGACAAGAAGAGTCAGGGCACCCGTTATCCAGGTTTCAGGACGTTGGGAGTTCAGTAAAGGGGAAGAGCTGTAGTGGGAGGACAGAGTCAATCCGGATCACACATCAGCTCTCCAGCTCTGATGTGCTTCCACCTCCTCTGGCACCACCAGCAGGAGTTCACAGTTCTTTCCTCTCAGCTGGTGTTTCAAAAATTTCCTATCATAAAGAGAAACAGAAATAAGCACTACTGAATGTAGAACTTTATCGTCTTCTTCAACAACTAAATGCAACTATGCAAACGTGACAAGAAACAGGAGGAAACCCACACGCAGTCTTTAGTTATTTTCTGACAAAAAAGAAAAAAATTAAACTTGCCCCACAAGATTCAACACCTCTAACCCAGCGAGCTACTGCAGAAACAGATAAGCATGATCTTAACCTCAGCAGAGAGGTCCATATAGATATCACTTTCCAACTTTGCAAGGTGGCAAAACCAGAAATAAAATAAATTTCAGTTTCTTCAGATCTCACAGATCAAAAACCCCACTGTATTTTAAAATAAATCCAACAAATGTGGAATACTTGTGGGGAAAAAAAACCCCATCATTTAGACATTTAGATGTCCTTATCACAGATTGTAGGAGCAGTGTGGCACCTGGTCATTTGACATGGTCCTGCAGCCCCTTTCTGCCTGTAAGCTTTTTCTAATACCAAGCTTGGATCACCTCCAGTAACTATGTAAGTCAAATCAATGTCTTCTCTCATATCTTTCAGCCCAGATTTCCAAAATTCTCTTATTTATTGCTGAAAGAACAGCACACCCAGCATAAAATCCACTGGAAGCTAGTTTCAGAACTGCATTACTTTATCCCAGAAGTTCACAAAAGGCTGACATTCACTTTACCAAGATTTTAATGGCAGGGCAGGCTCTGTAAATACTGCTCGTGTGCAGTCCCTACCTCAGAACCAGTCTGGCTGAGGCAGCAGAGCTGCTAGTGGGCTTTAGAACAGGATGGAATGGAAGCTGAACAGCAAGTAAGAGCAGGTGAGACTTTAGAGTCAAAGTAATTAAACCAACCATGTGTCATGTTAAGATTGAAGAGGGGAGTCAAGCCAGAAGCACAGCATCTGCTTACACAGGCAGGTGACTCCTAGCAAGCAGCTTTCACTGCTGTCAGGGAAAAGGCTGCACTTCTAATCTGGAAAGCCTTATGTTGGGAACACGCGCACACATCGCTCCTGAAGAGGCAAAAGAACGCTGATACGCTGGCACTTGAGGAGAGGGCAAGGCACAGCACATCTCCTTGCAGGTGTCACTCCTAACACTGGATTTGGCCTCTACCTTCATCTCTAGTGACAGAGCCAGCCATCCAAGAGACAAAGTCGGGCTCTCCTGAGCTCGCAGAGTGCACCGCTGGCAAAAGCTTTTTCCCAGCTTTGCGCAGGCGGTGTGTAACTCTAAGTGGAGGCACAAGAACTTTGTTACTTTAAAATCTTTGCTATTCAAGTTCAACCATAAATGTTTCAACCGCTAACTGTTTAAGGACAGATTCCCCTCGTCCAACAGAGAAGAATTTGAGAAGGAACAGGATACAAAAAATGCTACCTGAGCTCACTTTCACCTCCAATCCACTCGGGCACCTTGAGTTTGGAGTCGAGGTTGTAGTAGGTGCCTCCCACCTCCCGGACGCAGATCCAGTGCTGTCGCTTGAGGGGGAGCTTCAAGGGGCCCCAGCAAAGGCTGGAGGGCAGATTCATGATGAAGCCCATCACGTTAGACAGGGCAATGACGTTAACATCCCTGGAGGAGTGCAGAAAACAAGACAGCGATAACATTATATTCTGTTACTTTAATTTCATCTCTTTCTCATTTTCACAAACAGCAGCCATAGATTTATAGAATGGTTTGGGTTGGAAGGGCCCTGTAAAGGTCACCTAGTCCACCCCCCCTGCAGCAAGCAGGGACCTCTTCTACAACCTCCATCTCCAGAATTACACGGCTTCTCAGTACCTGCGCTTGTCCCACCAAACCGCCTCGTAGCCTTTGGTCTGAAGCGCTGCCATGATCACGTTCACATCATAGTTTCCGTTCCCCAGCATGCTCTTCTTGTGGGGCGTCACCATGGTGTTGGGAGACAGCCTGCAAACACAACGGGAGACTGCTCTAGCAGGACTTTGCAGAACCTATGCTCCACAGTTGGAAGGGGCTACACGCCTTGTAACTTGAAGCCCATTTTCAGGGTATTTGTGTTTAATCACAAAAGATCCCTTCCAACCCAAACTATTCTATGATTCTATTTTGTTACCCCTTATCACTCAACAAAGGGGCTGAGAGGGCTAAGTAATGCATTAAGAATAACTTTGATGTACAAAGCCTCCAAAGATCCTAGATTTGACGTGAAAGAGACGGCAAAGCAGGAAGCTCTTTTTCCCTCCTTGAACATCTGCTTTGCCATCTCTTTCACGTCAAGATGCTGTAATTATTTTTTCCTCAGTTCATGGCTGGAGTATGTCAGTTTGCCATTTAGAACACAATTTCCAGAGTTCAACAGTCAACACCAGTCTTGAAGGTAACAAGAGGCAGGGCAGGTTGGCTGCAGCAAAGGTTGTTCTCCCCTACCCCTCACTGGTCAATGAAAGAAGTATTCAGACACAAAGCTGTAAAGATGTTTGGGAGCATCTCTTCAGCTTCAATCCTTAAGCTTGCTTAGACATCCCTTGCATTACTATAGCATTTAAAAATGCAGAATCACAGCCCGTCATGTTACACACAAAAATACAAGACAGCCTTTGCACAAACGCAGATAATGGGTGCAAGGCATAAAACATGGCGACACGTGGCAAAAAAAAATGGTCACTTTTCTTGTTTTAAATTTTGTAGGGAGGGAAAACAACAAAGGGATTAATTATTATGAAGATGACAGACAGGCTTCAACAGCTGGAAGAGCAAGCACAGGGGGAAACTGGGAGCAGAGAACAGCAAGGTCATGCAATGCCAGTCCAAAGAAAGTCGAGCCTGAGAGCAGTTCTGTTGTGAAGAGCTGCTCTTTCGATTGGTAAGGACTCCATTAGTTCCACTGGCACAAGGTTCAGATGTTTTGCATCATCCCAATGTCCATGTTTTACCTGCCTCTCTCCCATGCCAACTCTGTCCCTCAAAACTCCCGATGTCCCTGCTCATTTTTCGCTCAGGCTTCAGCACAGTGCAAGTCCTGCAGGCACACTCTGTTGAGTGAAAACCCCTCAGCCCCTCTGCGTTCCTCCTCTGACAACATCAAGCATTTGACAAGAAGAAGAAAGCAGTGGATTGAATAGGGAGCTTCAGACCAACCAACGCTACAGACACGTAGCCTTTTGCATCAGCTATGAGTTTTCTTGCAGTGGAGCAGACTGCAGCAGAACAGCCTGGGAAATGATTTAACTACAGAAGGGAGAAGAGTCTGAAACAACGTGGCAAGAGGAAAAGCTATTAATACCGACCACTGGGCACTTCTGAGCAAGGCAGTGACATTTTCAAAGAATCATGGTTTTCAGCCTCCAAAGCTGTGCTGTATTTTACTAATCAGAGAGATGCAACCATAGCTTGTCACAGTTCTTCCAGCATCTCCATAAAGCGAGATCATTTGGCTGCAAGTAATTCCTCAAGATGAATGCTTCAACCTATTAACTCTCATGAGTGCCAGTGAGCTAGGAAAGCCTTCTGCTTAACAGAGAGCCCTTTGGGTTGCACAAGCACGCTCTTGTGGCTCTCTTTTCCAGAGACAAGCTTATTTGAGAGCTCAAAGAACACATTTATCTTTGTTCCTTCCCATAACTTTCAGAGCCCCTGAAATGAGATGAAGAGACCAGCAGAGGTGATACACTCAAAGAACTGGTACCTGTGAGCAAACTTCCAAGAATTGCCTGAACTTCTCTACTCACACACCCCTAAATAGGGTCCACAATCATCAGCTGAAGGATTCTGACAAGACAAAGAATTAAGTTGCCTGCCCAAAGTTAAATTTTTCATCTAGACACTAAGCTGAGGAAGACTGAAAAAGCTGGACAGAAATCCAGGTAATAATACTCCTGAGCTTTCTAAGTCAGAAACTTTCATCAGCACGTTGTCTTAACGCAACGAGCTCCAAGATTCCTGTATGCAGTTGTCTTTCCTCATCAGGTCGCAATACACAGACTCAAGTGAAGTGATTTTGTTTGTATCTCCATGCAACGTTTGGAACATGCAATCTTACCTCCTGCAACAAAAGGCAGAGGAACATCAAAAAGATATTTCTTGTATTAGAAGAAAGAAGAGAGGAAGGACTACAAAATCAGAGGAGTGCTCAGACCAAGCTTTGACATATGCTTGAGATGATAATCATCAGACTACCTTGGCCTTATGCAATGGGATGTAGCAAAAGAGAAAATAATGATTAAGCAACATGGTTCAATCATTCTTCAAGGGATGCATTAAAAGCTACAGAAAGCTTAAGCTTATTTGTGATTTCGTTACCTTGTCAACACCAGGTTTAAAAAAATCACACCTTGCAACATTTTTGTAGCTTATTAAAAACATTCATCAGTCCTTTATCAACACACAGAACATGACTAGACACAGGAAAGACATGTGAAAAAGCAATGCATAAAGAGCAACTAAATCCATGCTTGCTAAAGACAAGTCAAAGAGCCAGATGTGAGTAATAACCCAACAGAGATGCAAAGGTGGTGGCAGTTGTTACACGTAGCTTATAGCTCATCCATTTCTGAGAGAAATCTCCATACTGCTGTGGGGCTGAGCCAACCTGTGTATCTTGATCCAAATAGCAGGATGGAACAATACCAGGCTGGAATCAAAGACAAACTCTCCCTTCCAGGACAAAAGGTCTGACAAGATTAACATCCCAGCTCCTTCTGAGGGGTTTCATGCTGCACACTAATTCCCTCTTACCAAGCCCAATGAAAGCCAACTAATTAGATCATCACGCTCCTTCTACCACACGAACTGCCTTTGTTTGCTTCAGGCCAATAGCAATCCATCTGTGACTTAAGATTCTGACAATTGCTACTCTGGAACAAACCATAGCGTCTTTACACTGGACAAAGAGTGCCTTGAGCCTGCCACAGACCAGCTCCACTTCACCAACAAGAACTTTATTTACAACGCTATCGTCCATACCATTTCAATCCATTATTCGCCACTGTCCATCGCCACATTTCTTTTGCCAAAGACAGGCAAACGTTTGATGAGTCAAGCACCAGTTCCACAAACCAGCCAATTGCAGGTGCCACCCAGCTCCCTGCTCATCAGCACAGGGCACCGCAGCTGCCTTGTCCAACAGCACCCGCGCAACCGCTGCCGCGAAGCGCGATTCCCCACCCATCACAAACATGGGATGCTGGCAACCAACAGGTAACCCAGAGTAACTTATGTGGCAGTTACAGCATCTGCAGGCTGACAGTCAGAGCAGACCCCTTCTCCTGTTTTATTACTTAAGCTTCATCAATGAAAGGTCACCAGAATTTTCACACACAGGAGAATTTCCACAAAGCATCAAAACAGCATAAAATAAAGATCGAGCAAAATATTGTACAGGCCACATTAATAATTTACATTTATCCCAGTAAAACTCAAAAACGTTTTTATTAATTATCTGAAGTTGCTGGGAAACATTTAGCAATGCCACAGGAAATGGGGATCCAGCTACTGAAATTAAATCCAGTTTGACAAGAGAACAGAGGGCTTTGTTACATGGAAAAAACTACCATAATATCTGACAAGCTTCACTCAGCCACTGGATAAGGAGTCACTCATTTGGCAAAGCTTCTAATTTCCAAAAAACTTAGAAGTGTTGTGGTACTAAATCAAGAAGTTTTTATGATGACCCGTTTGTCATTCCTACCACTGTCACTCTCCCTAGGCAAGCCCAAAATCTGTTATTAACATCAAAATAACACAACTACATGAGGCCAGGGCAAAAATATGGAAGATGGGTAGAAGAAGATGGGTGGGGGAGAAGGCAGCAGTCCAACCACATGACAGCATCTGCAATAAAGCCCTGGGATGCAAAACTGGCAGAAAGAAACAAATTAAGAGAGAATTTCTACGTGTAGAGATGAAAAAAAAGAGGGCAGGGTGGATTTTAAAAGGAAGCTACATTCAGTTCAAAGCAGTGACATACTCTGAACCCCTTCTTTGCCCTGTTTTTCCCCCCCCAAATAAGATCTGAAAATTCCTCCGAGCAACAGAGGACAAGGGGAAGCTAATGCCAGTGAAGAGAGTATCCTACCTCTGAAAAATCTCCTGCAGGGTTTCCCTAGTGAAGGCGTTGCTGTCCTGGAAGACATTGTTGAGGGCATGGAGGGCACACAGCTCCCTACGCTGCTTCTCATGGTAAATATGCAGTGGTGGTAGCTGGGGTGGCTCTGGTGATTCCAATTTGGTCTTGTCACCTTTCCATGGCACGCAACTCATTTTCACGTAGGGTGGATGGAGAGTAGGTGGTGAGAAATGAAGGAGGCTAAAGTTTCTTCCTCCACAGTAACAACAGCAGCCCACTGCTACTTTCTTTTGCAGGCTAGTGCCGCTTCCAGCTCTCAAACCCTCCTCTTGTGCTTCGGTTTATTCAGTAATTGCCTCTGATGGCTGGTTTTAAAAACCACATAAAAATCTGCAACATATTTTTCCTCCCTCCTCCCATACCTCATAAAATGTAATACTTCCCTCCCCTCCACCCCCACAAGGAAAAAAAAAAAAGTCAAAAGATATGAATCCCCTTAGTTTCAAGGTACCAGCTGGAATTTATCACATCGCTCCTTTTCTTCCATCTCCTTTGGTCTATAGTGCCACTAAAAAGGGACCCAGAGCAGGTAACAAAGAGAGGTCCACCCCCAAAGTGCCAAAGCAGAGAAGATGAAGCCAGTTTCTGGGCTGCCTGTGGGAGCACAGGGTGGTTAAGGACCTATCAGATGCATTCCTCCATTCCTCTGGGAATGACTGAATCCAGGCAAGAAGATGCCAACAGCTTGGGAAAGGAAACCGCTTCTTGCTAGGCCACAAAAAGCCCCCAGGTCCGGGCGCCAGGGAAGGCAACTCCTCACAAGTCACCCTGCACTCCGACAAAGGGAAGGCTCCGTTAGCGGTGAGGAGAGGCAGCACAAAGCCCGTGGGGGCGAGGGGAGGGCAGGGCAGGCAGCCGGCGGGACCAGCC